TGGAACTTTCAGCCCACTGCCCCCAATCTCCAGGGAGAAGAGAGGGGCTGGAGACTGAGTTCAGCCTCCAAATGGCCGATGATTTTAATCAGTCATGCCTACATCGTGAAACCTCCATAAACACCCTGAACGACAGGGTTCGGGAGCTCCTGAGTTGGTGACTATATCCACTTGCCAAGAGGGTGTTGCACTCACCTCCATGGGGACGGGGACAGAGACTCCAGCACTTGAGCCTCTTCTGGACCCTGCCCTATGTGTCTCTTCCATTTGGCTGTTCCTGAGTTGTATCCTTTATAACAAACCAGTAATCATAAGTAAAGCACCTTCCCAAGTTCTGTGAGTCATTCTAGAGAATTATCGAACCTGAGGAGGGGAGTGTGGGAACTCCCGAATCTGCAGTTGGCAGGCAGAAGTGCAGAGGAAACCAGTAAATAGTTAGCCATTGATGATTAGGTAGCTAGGAACTAAAGTTCTTTTTCTTTTTTGCGATTACTGATTGTAGCTCTTAGTTGTTCCCGCACCCATTGTTAACTGTGCTGCTTAGGCAATATGCTATCCGACTCCTACTAGGTTCCTATAGACAACATCGCCCTGGCGCCTGGGTCACCATGGTAATGGGTTTTTGAGCTGCTTTTCAGGAATTAGGACCCTCTTGTCCACTTCAGGTCAGTGGAGACCACCAACCCATCAACTGGACCTGTGCAGATGCCCAGTGAGTGACCTTTTGACATCAAAAAGCTGAAAACTCCACCCTCAGATCATGCCAATGCCACTATTTTGTGAACATGCATCCTATGAAGAGGCATGAAGTCTGACTATGCCTGCGCAGATCATCAACTACCTCACCTCTCCTCACCTCCAATCATCTATCTCCATGCTTCAGACCACCCTGCCCCCCTATCCCATAAATATCCCTGAGTCCCCATTTTTAAGGAGGCAGATTTGAGACTCGTTCTCCCGCTTCCTCACTTGGCTGCCTTGTGATTAAAACCCTCCCTCTGCTGCAAGCTTGTCATCTCAGTGTTTGGCTTTCCGGGCGAGGGGCAAAAATGAACCTGGTTCGGTAACACAGGTCACCTGGGAACTCCATTTTGTGGCTGGTGTCTGAAGTGGGGGCAGTCTCATGGAACTAAGCCCTTAACCTGTGGGGTCTGTGCTAACTCTGGGAGTTAGTGTTAGAACTGAATTGAATTATTGGACACCCAGTTGGTGTCAGAGAATTAGAGAATTGCTTAGTGTGAAAAAACTACACAGATTTGGTGTCAGAAAAAAACCACACATCTGTCAAAAGTGGTGTCAGAAAACACCACACAATGAATCATAGCCCCAAGGTCTCAGGGCCCTGCAAGTGGCCCCTATGGGTGACTCTAGACTGTTCTCAACTCACCACAGCTCCTAGCCTGGGTTCTCAGATCAGGAGAGATCTGTGGGAGGAGCAGAGGCCACCAAGAAGGAACACCAAGGAGGAAGAAGAAAAACCAGGAGAGTGTGGTGTCACAGGAGGCAAGAGTAGAGAGTACGGCAGGAAGGACTGCGTGTTCCACAGCAGATACTGCTGAAAGGTTAGTCGGGGGAGGAGCAAAGAATAACCAGAGGATCCAGGCACATGGAGGTCCCCAGTGATCCTGACCAGAGGACTTGCAAGGACCTCAAGTCAGAATAGTGGACTGGGGGGAGGGGCAGCAGTTGTGCTTGGGAAGGACACACATGGGAGGCTTTTGGGGTGTTGACACTAGCCTATCTCTTGACACAATCTTTATCATTCCTCATAAAACTGTACATCTACCTTTACAAGTTTTCTGAATATGCTGTATTTGACAATAAAAGGTGAGAAAAGAGAGATTAGGAGGCAGGGAAGTAGGGAAGGCATGCGCAGACCTCCCTCCTCTTGATGAAGTTTGGCTGAGCAGGACTTGATGGGCTCTGAGTGCCAGCTAAGGAGGGTGGGAGCCCCCAGCAGGCTTTCAGTGCTCAGAAGGAGCTGGAAGAAGAGAGGGACAGGGTGGGGGAGGAGGCCTGTGGCAATAATCAAGGCAAACACAGGTGGAGCACATGGGTATGTGAGCTCCTAAGATACAGAGAAAAACAAACACAGCAGAATAAGTCCAATAGATTCATCAAAAAAAAAAAAAAACAAAAAACAGTGATTTCAGCGCCCCCTCTCCTCCCGAGCCCTCCCAGCAGCTGCAGTGCCTGCAGGGTTTTCCTCTCAGAAGCAGAGGGTGAGGTGGCTGACTGCAGTTTCCTGTGTCTCCCTGACCGATTCCCTTTGAGCTCATGCACATGCTTATTTGCAAAGAAATATCAAGAAAACCAAGTGCTATTAAGTTTCTTTTCTCTTTTAGCACGGTAAGGACAAGTAACACAAGTCCAGGAAAAGGAGCCTGGGAGTGACCAGCCCTGAGCTTCCCATGCCCATCAGAGGGTAAGAACCCAAACTACGGAAAGAAGAGGACACGTTTCCACTCAAGACTCTCTGATCAAACCACCAAACCCTCCGGGTCCTCCCAGTTGCTTTGAGTTTAATAATATTCCTAGGCTTTGCAAGTTATTGGCATTTTATTCATCTTTTCAATTCTTCCTGAATCAATACTTTTGTAAATGGCTTTTGGGTCCAGTGTGAAAAATATGCAAATATATTAATTCCATTTTCTCTTTCCCATACTCTGTCAATATCAACATTATCAATCTTCTCAGAAGACCATGAAATTGAAATGACATCTTTAAAGGGGTCAAAACAATTGCTACGATGTTTCTACCACTAGTGAAGCTTCAATTTATTTCATAGTTTCATTCAACCCAGTAAAGAAATTTAAAATTTCACAGTTGCATTACAACAGAATATTTAAGTATCAAAATGAACTGGAACCAAACACGACATGCAGAGATTCCAACTTTCCCTTGGAGCCAAGTTGCACCCGATCCTTTCAGAGTCAGAGAGTGGTGACCTGTACTCACTGTCAGGTTCCAGTTGATCTGGGGGATCCTCATGTGAAGGTTGAGACTGAACAGAATCAGCAAGACTCCAGTCACCACAAATGCACTACAGCTCACAAATTCAAAAAAGTAGAGGCCTTCACACGGGGAGCACTCCATGATGGTCTCTATGCAGATGAACGCAATCAGGGCCAAAATCTAGGAAGAAAATTGGAAACATACACGTATGTGTATATTTAGTACACATCCATGGACATATGTGCCTGCCACGTTTAAATATAACTCAACAACCACCACCATGTACAGCCACAGAGTTTTCCTCTGGGGACAGCAGTATCGCTGTCAGGAATATGATCTGATTCAATTCTTACATAAGAACAGGTATAGGGGCCTTCATGAAAGGATCAAATTCCTAATGTGAACTAAGCCCCCACCACAGTACGCTGAAATCAGTCCGGTGCGGTGTGGCTCTTGTGAGGAAGTAGAAAGGAACATCTCTGCGATGTTTTTAGTTCTTCCTCTCCCACTAGTAAAGGGACATTGCCCATGCACGTTTCTAATTTATAGTCTCTACCACAATTATGCCAAACATTTCGAGGGCAGTATCCTGATGGTGTTCATTTTATGCATCTGCAACTACCTTGGTGGTTCACCCTGAGGTCACACAGGCTGACTGGGACCCCTGAAGGCTTCAAGAGAAGGACTGGTATAATTCCCCTTTCCCCCCAATTAGAAGTCGCTAAAAATGAGGCCTACTTAATTCATGAGCTATGCTCTTTAAAAGTTTATCATTGGACTTGATCACAAAGATGGACTGGCAGTTTATAAAAACATTTTAAAATCTCCCAGTAATAGAATTTCTTTCTGAAGGACCAAAGTAACATTCTAGCGATATGTCCCAAGAGACAGGAGATCATAAAGCCAAAGAAGTATCAATGGAAATTACCAGGTTAACTTTTTTTTTTTCTTTTTTTTTGTGAGGAACATCAGCCCTGAGCTAACATCCACGCCGGTCCTCCTCTTTTTGCTGAGGAAGGTGGTCCCTGAGCTAACATCTGTGCCCATCTTCCTCTACTTTATGTGGGATGCCACCACAGCACGGCCTGACAAGCGGTGTGTCAGTGCGCGCCCAGGATCCCAACTCAGGCCGCCAGCAGCAGAGCGCATGCCCTTAACCGCTACACCACGGAGCCGGCCCCCAGGTGAACTTTTAAAGGAAGATTTCAGGAGGAGGGGGAGGCTCAAAGGCTGAGTTAATGGCCCTGTGATCAAGGAAAGGTCGGGTGGTCTTACACCTAAAACCAGGTCAGTCTTGGGCTCCTGGCTCCTGCTCCACTTCTTTTTTTTTTTTTTGGTGAGGAAGATTGGCCCTGAGCTAACACCTGTTGCCAATCTTCCTCTTTTTGCTTGAGGAAGAGCAGCCCTGAGCTAACATCCATGACCATCCCCCTCTATTTTGAATGTGGGTCGCCACAACAGCATGCCTTGATGAGTGGCGTAGGTCCACGCCCAGGATCTGAACCTGCAAACCCGGGCCACCCAAGTGGAGCGGGCTGAACTTAACCACTACACCACCGGGCCAGCCCCTCTGCTCCACTTCTTTAACTGAGCATCTTGCAGCCCACCACTTGTCAAACCTGTGCCAGAGCTTCCAAGCCAGGCCCCACCTCAAAGGTCAAGGAAGTATAGGCAGAAAGCTCTGTGGTCCCAGATTTGTCCTTAGAGCCCCAACATCAGCATCACCAGGGAGCTTGTTAAAAATTCAGAATCTCCACCTCCTCTCCTTGACCTACAGAGTCAGAATCTGCTTTTTGGACGAGATCCCCAGATGATTAAAGTGTGGGAAGCATACGAGGCACAGGCTGCTTTGCGGCCCTTCGCCACACTGGAGTCCCACTCGTGCCTTTCAATTCTCCACTCAACACCACCTCCTACCTGTCTTCCCTGATTGAGTCTCTCCCTGTCACACATTATCTGATTCCACCCTCTCCCAGGAAAGCTTGCTCGCCTGTGATTGTATTCTACCCCGTTTTATGCTTCCCATTATGCATCTCTGCCTCCTGAGCTTTCTGAGAGCAGGGGCCAGTCCATCTCTCTTCTCCCAAGGCACCAACCACAGGAACTTGCACACAGCCAGCAAATGGGGGCTCAGGGAGCCACTAAAAACCCACACCAACAATTCCTGATGTACCTGTCAGTGTTTCCACAGGAAAGGAAGCTCTGCTTTTTCCCCGGTCGATACTTCCATACAGTGATTGTAAAAGACACCTTTCCTAACAATACACAGTCTTTTCACATTTCTAAGTCAACACGTTAAAGATACGGGTCTTTATACACACACACTGTGCGTCTCCTATGGCTCTCCTTATAATTCTCTACAGAACCATAGACTTTAACGCTCCATCTGAATTACATGCCTGACTTGCAATCAATTCACAAAGAAATAGTTCATATAAGGAAAACTCCTAAACTTTTTCTTTTTACCCCTGTAATTGGATCTAGTAATCTCGGGCAAGAAATAACACACTGTACTGATGAGTTACAAATGTTTCTGGTATGCTAACTTCAACCATATTTGTGTGGGAAGGTAACACCTACATTCTTAAATATTTATTTAGTTATTTAGTTATTTAGTGTGTGTGTATGTGCGCGAGGAAGATCAGCCCTGAGCTAACATCCATGCCAATCTTCCTCTTTTTGCTGAAGGAAGACTGGCCCTGAGCTAACATCCGTGCCGATCTTCCTCCACTTTATATGGGACGCTGCCACAGCATGGCCTGACAAGCGGTGTGTCAGTGTGCACCCGGAATCTGAACCCAGGCCACCAGCAGCGGAGCGCACGCACTTAACCACTACGCCACGGGGCCGGCCCCTACATTCTTAAATATTAAAATAAAAATGGTTTCAAGAATATGCAGATCTGGGGCCGGCCCGGTGGCGCAAGCGGTTAAGTGCGCGCGCTCCGCTGTGGTGGCCCGGGGTTCGCAGGGTCGGATCCTGGGCACGCACCGACGCACTGCTTGTCAAGCCATGCTGTGGCGGCGTCCCATATAAAGTAGAGGAAGATGGGCACGGATGTTAGCCCAGGGCCAGTCTTTCTCAGCAAAAAGAGGAGGATTGGCAGATGTTAGCACAGGGCTGATCTCCTCACAAAAAAAAAAAAAAAAAAAGAATATGCAGATCTAATAGGCCATTCAACATAGCAATGAACAAAAAAGACACAAATCCCTGCTTTCTAGCTCATATTCTAATGAAGGAGACTTTTTAAAAATTAAACTGAAAATATAGTATGTTAGGCAGTGATAAGTACAAAAGAGAAAAAGTAAAGCAGAGAAGGAGAATGAAACATAACCAGAGCAAGGGTGTTTGAAATTTTAGGCAGAGTAACCATGGAAGTCCTCACTGAGAAGATTCTAGATTTATTAAAAAGTTTATTATGGTTCATTACAAAGGATATTAAAGGATATAAATGAACAGCCAGATGAAGAGACACATAGGACAAAGTCCAGAAGGATTTCAAACACAGGAGCTTCTGTCCTTGTGGAGTTTGGAATGCACCACCCTCCGAATGCACCACCCTCCGGGCACGTGGATGCATTTTGGTTCATCAACCTGGAAGGTCATCAACTGTCCTGTTTGAGAGTATTTAGAGAGCTTCATCTGTAGCCCCCCTCCCCTTCCCAGAGGTCAGGGGGTGGGGTGTGGTTGCCCTGGCAACCGGCCACCATCCCTAGGTGCTTTCCAAATGCCATCTCCGTAACAAACTCAGGTGTGGTTGAAAGGGGGTTGTATATTAAAAGACTCCTCTTATTACTTAGGAAATTCCAAGGGGTTTAGGAGCTCTGTGCCAGGAATGGAATGAAGACCAAATATATATTTATTATAAATCACAATATCACAAGTATTCATATGTAGAGAGAGATACAGAGCCACATAAATACATGCATACACACACCTATACACAATAATTTAATCAATCCCTGAGTGACAGGTACTTAAGGTGGTTTCTAACACTCTGTTTCTAATAAGCAATACACTTTTTTTGCCTGCCTTTTGGCACAGCAAATGTCAGATTTTCCTCCAGCACAGTGTAATCTAACAATTGTTGAAGTAAAACCTACACATTAACCAACAAGAAGAAAATAAGGACAGAGTTAAACTGGAAGCCAACAACTTCAAGGCAACCAAAGAGTCAAAGGTAACTCAACTTGTAACAATTTTGCAGTAGACAAATGTCACATGTAAAACTGTACAGAGATGTTGAAGAAGATGTAAATAAGCGATAGCTATCGCATCTGCTAATCAGGAGACCATGGGTGCCCCTGGAGAGAGTTCTTTCCAGGTAGCACCTACCAGTTGACCAGGAATAAATATTTTCATAGTTGATAAGTGAATTGACATTAAAAAGTTGTCAGAAAAAAAAAAGTTGTCAGATTTCACAACTGCAGCTAATTATGATTGGCAACATCAAAAAGCAGGAAGGGAGGGAGAAGATTGGCCGATTAAGTTACCATACAACTTAAAATTTCATAAAGCCCCATGTCACTACTGGCGGGAGTGTAAACTGCCAGCCTTCCTGGAGGGCTGTGGTAATCAGCAGTCCCCTTCACCGGTACACCTAGTTCTCCTCCTTCCAGGCACATCGTAGGGTGGGAGATTTGTGCTGTGGGATTGCCCCAAGGCAGATTTGTTCTCAAGATGATGAAGCCTAGGTTCAGAACTCCACACTTGTCACTTCAACTTCTTTTCTATCACAACTCATTTTGCCAGGTGGTGACAGAAGAGAAATGGGCATTTTGGGGATTCGGCTAATTGGAAGTTGAGTGAGAGATATGTTAAATTTGGGTTTAGCTGTCACTTCCATGAGTAGTTGTTGTAGCCTTCCCACTGTAGGAATGGTTTCCAGATATGCTCTGATCCAACATCATGATTAAGAAACAGCCCTCAAACTCATAAGATAAATGTGTCCTGCAGTGCCCAACTAGAAGGACGTGGGTGGTGAGGGAGAAACGGGGTTTGAAACATAGAGCCAGAAGCTTGCCTGTGAAGAATTCTTCAGATCATCAAATGCAGAAAACTGTAGGTGGACAATTCTGTTTCATCGGTGCCTAAGTGGAAGTTGTGCCCTATCAGGAATATATTCAATAATGCAGAGTATGCAATTATAACCACACTATACATTTTCTTCCTTTTTGGTG